AGGCACAGCCAGGCTTTAAAGAACTAATTCACTACATTAGTTTATGGTGTTTCACTTCTATGGTAGATACGTACAAGTGGCTGAGGAAAGAGAGATCAGGTCTGGTCCAAACTGGAGGGAAAGGGGGTCACTGGAAGGTTTGCTGGAAGGGGTGCCTTGTATGGTTTTGGACACTGAGGAATTAGCAAGGTAGAGGTGGGAACAATTCCAAACCAACGGCTTGGTCCCAGTGACTGCTCATTATTCACTGAATATATGAACAAGGGGAAGCAGCATGTGTCACAAAGAAGTGACAAAGTGACAAAAGCAGTTCTTGGGGGGGACCACAAATAGCCGTGTGAGGGCTGCACTCCCCTCCAGTCTGCTCCCCCTGCAGTCTCCTTCACCCCCAGCTCATAAACCTCACATTGGTCCCAAGCACCAAAAAAGGTAAATGCACCGAGCACTTCAACTCCCCGTGCTGAGAGGGGCCGGGACTTCTAGAGACTGACCTGCTGGCACCACAACTGGCACAGAATAAACAAGGCCTGCCTCTCTTGTGTATGGAGGTTCTGTTATTGGAGTGCTAAATTCAGAAGAAATGATCTGAACACATTTTCACCTCCACTTAAATCCAATGAGAAATAACATTTATGCAAAGAAAGTGGCCAAGCGAGGCGACAGCTCAGCACTCAAACAAGGGCGATGGAGTGCCCAAGATTGGTTACCCACAGGGGAGATGCCAAAGAAGGCAACACTGAATAACGGGAACCGAATTTCTCATTGTCCAAGAAAGGAGTGAGAAATATGGAAAGGGAGAAGCGAGAAGGGACGTTGTGGTGCTGAATTAGACTTAAAGGTACGTGTTCTGAGCTTAAGTTTTCAATTGTCTGTAGACACAGAAACAGAGATGTGTGTGCACGTATGGTTTTCCATGAGCCACCCACACAGCAGGTAGCTGTGAGAGCCCAGTAACGATGAGCACACCCAACATCAAGTTTGGGTTCCTAAATACAATCTCCATGAAAGGGAACCAGAGCTCCCTGAAGAAATGATAAATTCCAAGGCTGGGGCATGCAAAGTACAAGAGCCTGAATATATTACTGAGCCAGAAAGTAAGGAAGTACTCAAGAGTGATGGGGGCCTGGCAAACACAAAACCAGCTTTAATGGTCCACAGTGGCAAAACCTGGGACGGTAGTGATGGATCAAAATAACGGTAGTGATGGATCATATTCCACTGAATAAAAGGGGAATTTGAGTCTCTAGGGAAGCCAATGTTAAGTGGGAAAAGAGAATGCCAGAACGCAGAATGCAAGCTAAGTGCAGAAGATATTCTGTAATTTAAAAACCACCACTTGACAATCATCTTAGTAATAATTCAGGCAAAAAATACCAGTGGATACTAAAACTAATGGGCAAATTTTGATGAGAAGATATTAAGTTTCAAAGTATCTCCCCATAAGATATTTATTAAATACAAAGGGACCAACAGTAACTGTCCCAGTGAGAAGCCTGGTAGACACTACCTCCCTTGAACGATCCAACAGTACTAGTGACGGGACAAATCGACGCTGTGTGCCATCTTAGGGGATGTGGGCAAGAGCCCAACAACGCTTCTGTGGTACTTCCTCAAATATGCCCAACTTGAATCTAGTCATGGAAACACCAAACACGAACTGAGGGGCATTCTATAAGACAAGCGTCTTGTTCTTAGAAAAGTGGTAAGGTTATAAAGGTCAAGGAAGGGCTGAGAAACAGTCTGGATTGAAGGAGACTAAACGCAGCGTGTTATACTGGACTGGATCCTTTTGTTAGAGGGCATTTACTGGGCCCACTGCAAAACTTAAATGGGTGTGGGGAGGAGTAAATGGAAGCTCTTTGTGCTGTTCCTGCAACTTTTCTGTAAGTTTGAAATGGTCTAAGGATGGAACAGTTAATGCTCTTTGCTGAAATGCAAATACAGTGTAAAAATTAGAACACCAAAGTTAAAGATATGAAAAATATTTTACAATTAAAGTAGTAACTCGTTAAAATATTTAACTTCCTTTTAGATAATTTCCTTAGAACTGGAGACAATATAAAAATTAGTCAAAATGCTGCCAAACAAGCAGAAGCGGGCCTACTTGACCAAAATAAAAATAAAAACAAAGAACCCTAAACTAAAATTAAGAAATTGCAAAAATCACTACAGGCTTCATAAACTCATTCAAAAGAACCCTAGCCCCAAGCTTAAGCCCCACTAGCCTCATTCATTCTCATCTAATTTGTAACCAATCAGTTTTGAAGTAATTTATCAAGTGTTCTTCTAATCTGCTATTGCAAGCAAATAAAACCCAGATTGGCTCCTATAATTTACAGCCAAAACACTTTTAAGAGCAGTTTTGAGACAAAATTTTGAACTGTCAGAGAGATAAAAGCTGTCTGTAACCAAACCCAGGATCCGTATCAACACCCTCTGAGCCCTAAGGCGGCTATTCTGTAGGCAGTACCCCGCCCTGTAGACAGTCTACATGTTTAAGCGTGGAAGGCCACTCACGGGCAGGAGGCCCGCCTAGAGCTGGTACAAGTGCAGCATAAGCTTCCCCACGTTTTCATCACGGCAAATACAATACAGGTGCAAAACACTGGCTCGGGGAAGGTGGGGGGCGGGATGAGGCGCTGGGGCTAGGGCTGGGGAGGCGAGGTTCCCCAGGTCCCCAGAAGACCACCTCATGTGCTGGAGATGACTGGAACCTCTACCGTTACCGCTGTCACTCCCTCTGAGCCAGATGGAAGAGGAAGATGACGCTCTAGGTCAGCAAGAAAACTCAGTGAAATAGGCCAGGGTCTGGGCGACTATTTTCTAATTTGTGCTCCTGGAAAACAAGTTGCTCTACACCTATTGAAGGATCTATTCCTATTCTAAGTCTGTCATATTTCGAGCTCAATGGCAGAGACGTTCCAATTCATTTGGATCCGAAGCACCACATAGGAAGCCAGTTTGTCATCACCGATGTTCCTTCGTGCTCCCAGCCTCCTCATTCCCCAGCTCTAACCACATGATAGGGAAGGCCTTTCACAGCCCACTTGTCCCTCTCGTCGTCCCCGAGGTCCCCCAAACACTGCAGTGCTGGTTCCTAGCAAGTCACGCCTCCGCTCCCTGCCTGCCTGTCACCGCTCCTCCCGCCCACTACCCACCCCCAGTTCCGGAAACCAGTCTGCCACCCACAGGTCCAACGCTTCTCCGTCCGTCCGGGGTTCCGTCCTCTTTTCCAGCTGTTCAATTGCCCCAACTCTGATTACAGGGCCCAAGGATTCAGCTGGCATTTTTGTTCTGGTTTATTCATCACTATACCAGGTGCTTCTGACAGTGTGCTTAGTGCTGACTTTCATTATCTTACCGTGAGAGCAAGAAATGCTGTGGTGGTAGCAAAAAAAAAATAAATTCAAGACACCACATAGATGCTAGGCCAGCACATCAGGCACACAATGCTCCTTCAGCAGTGATGTGGGGGTGACACTACTCCTCTGGAAAGAACCTGGGGTAGTAACAAGCAAACCAACGTGAAGCGAAGACCTGAAGGCAAGATGTCAAGAACGCCAACAAGGCATAAACAGCTTTGTATAACTTGACACATGACAGGCTCGTCGTAGCTTAGGACAGGGATGGCAGCGTGTTCTGTGAAGGGCCAGGCGGCAATATTTAGGCTTTGCAGCCTTCGTCTCCTGCAACTACTCAACACTGAACTCTCTTAGCACCAACGTAGATATAGGTAACGTGTACACAAATGAGCACGGCTGTGTTTCAATAAAACTGAAATTTGGATAATTTTCACACTTTTTTTAACCGTTTAAAAATGTAAAGCTCATGGACCATACAACAGGCAGTGAGCCAAATGTGGCTCATGGGGCTGGAAATTGCCAGCCTGTGGCTTAGAAAAATGAAATGAAAACAAAATGGACGTGGGAGGTCAACTTAAAGGACACACTGTACCTGACTGAGCCTCACGGCAGGGAACTCACCAAAACGGGCTTGGTTACAAGTCCTTACTCCCTATAATTGCTTACTTTTGATTGAATATTGTTTAACAGTCTTAGGCTGGCTGCTGTAAGACATCTAGTATGGGGTAAACGGGGATTTACTGAAATCAATAAATCCCTCACGAACCTTGATTTGCATTCCATCAAGTATCCCACCTCTGTTTTGATGCTTTAGTTGAGAAAACAAACAGGAGACCCAATAATAAAACTGACCTAGTGCCTTCTACATGCTATTCACCATTTACTAAAAAAAAATAAAAGTATCGGTGATAGAGGCATTGCCAAATTTCAGCCTAACATTCTATATGGCAAAAATCACTTTAAAAAAATGAGAAATGCAATGCTAGATGTATTGAAAATATTTTATAATTAATTCTCTAGAGTCCTACCCATCTAGTACAGGAAAAAATTATCTGGTGGAACACTTCAGTATTTTTAAACAATGTAAAGACATATTTGACTTGAGGATGGCAATAAGAATTTAACAAATATAAACTTAAGCTTCCTTACATTTTCCATAGAGCAACTAAACAATAAAAACATTTCAAGAAATTGGTGACATAATACTTCAAATGCAAAATTCCAAAGTCAAATAGTCACTTACATTAAGAGATTTACCAAAACTGTAAATTAGAACACAACAGCAAAAGGTCACAAAAAGCCTATTTCTTTCATAGCATCTTGGCTGGTTCTTTAAGCAGATAAACAAGGTATCGTAAAGAATGGTCAAAACTTGGCCTGAACTGTCTTCTGGTAATTATTAATCCCACTATTTGTAGTTGTTGTCCAAGACAAAAGCTCCATGCCACCAACTTCTGCTGTCACTTTCCAGAGTAAGGAAGAGGCTGTTGCTGTTTTTCTCCTTTTTTCCAGTTTTCGCTATGCTCTGAGCAATTAGGTAGCAGATAAAATGTCATAAAATAAATGAACTTATTCCATTATCCGACCAGAAAAGCCACCCCTCTTCCCAACTCAGTGCTCTGCCTTGAAAGATGAACATTACGTACGAATTCTCATTTTATTTTCCTGAGACATTTTGCATGATCCATTAGAAAACACACAGGTAATACAAAGTCCAAAGGCCTGCTGCGTTTACGGAATACACACATGAAGATTAAACTGCATGATGAACATTGCAGGGAGAAATTATGGTTTCACTTATTTTCATGAAATAGGTTACAAGTGCATGACGTAAAAGCTTAAAAGTCATCACCAAACAGTGCTAAGGATTATTGCAAGAGATTATGCAGGGAGAAATCTGTGCAAATTCATCTTCTTAACTCAGTATAAGATGGTAGGAAAAACATTTTTTTCTTTAAATAGTCTTGTTTATATTCAGGAAAATAGATTTGAAAAACTGAACAAGTAGACATCTACCCAGTCTTTATGATCAAATAACAGTGCCAATGAAGGAGATTCCAAAGAAAAAACTGAGATGAAAAAAAATCCAAATAAAAGCCAACACTGCTATTAAGATTTGTTTTTAATATGCCATGAGATATCTTGATTGTATATTTTCCAAAGTATTTTCCCAGCCACATCTCCCAACCCTTCCAAAAGACTTCACCAGTCTTTCCAACGTAATCAAAGATGCTGGATTATAGTTCTGTCCACCTTCTTTTTGAAAGCAGTAGACTCCTAATGACTTTAATGGTCATACATTCTTATCTAATAAGGAAAAACATTTACAAATATTAGAAACCCAGTTTCGAAACATTTGCATTAATTTTGAACTGAATCGGCATTTTGTAGGTTTTAAAAAAGGCAGCAGTTTGAACTCACGACTTGCTGACAAACACATTTCTGCTGAGGGAAGGGAAGAGAGGGAGAGTGAGTGCTGCGTTTCTCCATTGGCCCCAAGGTGCTCATTTCACAAAGGGATACATCAAAAGCAAACATGCAATGATGATTTTAAAACTTTTACTGCAATATAACAATGAAGTAAACAGTAATTAGACACTTACCAATTTTCCCCCAAAACAAACCAAAAAAATGTAAACAGGAAAATAACTCTGCCTATACTTGTACAGCTCCTCAAATCATGTTAGAAGGGTCTCACATTCAATGATCAAGAGATTTTAAAATAGCAGTAATTATTTTCATTTTAAGAAAAGGGTCCCCCTTCTCCCCTCCCCCACCCCAAGTATTTAACACAAAAGAATAGGCTTTCTTGACATTAATTTTATACTTATTTGAAGCAGCAACAATAACCATCAATAATTTGGCATTTCTGTTTATAGTTGTTTCAAAATTGTTTTCGATTTCACAAAGCCATTATCCAGTGTTGCCATGAAAGAGAGACTGTAGATTCTAGGTAACAAAGATTCGTTCTGAAACCAATGTTAAGTCAAAGAAATACAAAGCAGGGCATTACACTAAATTTCTGGATCTAGCACACTAAAAAGAGTGAAACCTAGGAAGTTATCTACTGTTTTATACAAGAAATAAAGGCCTGCAAAAGCTGATTTTTGGTTGTATAGTATTTTACACACTGTGGATCTGCAGCATCTGCTAACTGAAGCAGACATGCACTGTATTTATCCCAGCCCTATATCCTAGAGATCCCTCCCTCCCCACCCCCAACCATCTACCTTATACCAAGTATTATGGATATGAGCCCAAGTCATCCCAGACAATCCAGTGAACAAAGTTAGTGTAATGCACTGGTGTGAAGTGTGAGATTAAAAAAAAAAAAAAAAAAAAAACCACACAAAAAAAGTCCCTTTCAATCTTCATCAAAGTTTTGCTGTAGAAGAAAATTGGCAGCCAAATTCTCATTCTTCTCACAAGCAAAGTAAGCTTGTATCACAAGTCCTTCAGGAAATCCTAATGCCTTTAACTGGAATAAAGAAAGAAAACATATTATGGACTACAGCATAGCACTACTGACACATCATTTGAAAACATACTGTAAAAGACCGAAAAAGCTCTTGAATATTTTACACAAACTCATCCTTATCCGAATATGGATTCATTGTCTAACCCAAGAGGCTCGGCTACGTGGAACCTAGGCCCTTAAACCACCACCTACAAAAGTCTTTGTTCCTAGTTAAAGCTATTAGACTAACAGATACTTTGCTAATACTCATCAGCATTAACACTAAAACTTAACTGCTTATAATGGTAGTTTAAAAGTAAATGAACCCACAGAATTTGTAAATATTGGGTTGTCGGAAAAGCCACGACGCATTTTTGCAACGAAAAACAGAAAAAATACGTCATGACTTTTCCGACAACCCAATAAAATGGCTTTTAGTATAAAAGTGGTGAAGATACAGATGAGAGCAACCGGAGATGAGTTTATCTACCTCAACTAATTATCTGTAACAGACAGTCTTATCTTTCATTAGGATCAAATATCATTCTCAATCACCTTGCCTTATGAAACACTTCATACTAGGAAAATGAGTGATCAATTATTAGTAATACTACACAATATATTCTGAGATTAAGACATATGATGTTCTATTTTTATCTGCTTAACTTTTATAGCATTTTAAATGGTGATATGAGCTGCTTTCGTTTTCCTAGTCTATTAAAAATCACTTGTGAGTCAATACTCACTGCTTTAAAAGCCTCTAAACGCTCAGGTCAATGACCTAATTCACTAGGTACTATAACTATATATTTGTCAGCCAAATGTTATTTATGAACTCCCTCCTCAACTTTCTCAATTGCCCTGCATTAGCCCATATCAAGAAACGACCTTAAAAAACTGGGCATAAATCCCAATACAGTATGATTAACTATCCATCCATGAAAAGGAGAAGAAACTCAAAAATGATTTTGTTACCTAGGTCTTGTCCAGATTAAAGCTGGGCTAGCTGAAGTAAAAAGTAGATAGGGCACGATCCAACTATATGCTTCTACAAGACACACTTTAGATTCAAAGACACAAATATGCTGCTGAAAGTAAAAGGATGGAAAAAGATATATCCCATGCAAATATTTACAAAAAGACAGCTGGAGTGGCTATATTAATAACAGACAAAACAGGTTTTAAGATAAAAGTTGTTACTAACAACGAAGGACATTTTAGGGTGATAATACACCAGGAAGACTTCATTATAAACATATATAACAGAGCCCCAAAATACACAAACCAAAAACTGACAGAGCCGAATGAAGGGAGAAATAGACAACTCAACAATAGTTGGAGACTTCCACAGCCCCACATTCAATCATGGATACGGCAACTAGGCAGAAGACCAAAGAAACAGAAAACTTGAACAAACACTACAAACCAGCTGGACCTAACAGACATTTTCAGAACCCTCAACAACAGAGATTATACATCCTTCTCAAGTGTCCATGGAACACTCTCCACAAAGACCCTGGTAGGCCACAAAACAAGCCTCAATAAATTTAAAAGGATCAAAATTATACAAAGTATGTTCTCTGACCACAATACAATGAACTTATGTTCAGTAACAGAAGGAAATTTAAAAGTTCATAAATGTGTAAATTGACACAATCCTAAATAACCAATGGATCAAAGAAGAAATCACAAAAAGAAATTAGGAAATACTGAGATGAATGAAAACAAAACCACAATGCAACAGAAGAAAACCACGATGCACTACAGCTTATGGGACGCTGCTGCAGCTGCGCCCAGGGGGAAGTTCATAGCTGTGAACGTCTCTATTAAGAAAGATCTTAAACCAATAGTCTACGCTTCCACCTTAAGAAATTAGGAAATAGCAAGAGGAGATTAAATCAAAGCAAGCAAAGGAGAAAAATAATAAAGATTAGAGAGGAAATAAATAAAATGGAGACTAGAAAAACAAGAGAGAGAATCAACAAAACCAAGTTGGTTCTTTTTTTCTTTAGACCTACAATATCGACAAATCTTTAGCTAAACTGACAGGAGTAAAAAGAAATCTGAAGACTGAAATTACTAAAATCAGAAATAAATGTGGAAACACTACTAATTTTCATAGAAATAGATAATGTTAATAAGGAAATACTATGAACAACTGTATGTCAACAAATTAGATAACTTAGATAAACTAGACAAATTCCTAGAAAGATAAAACTTTCTAATTGACTCAAGAAGAAACAGAAAATCTGAATAGGCCTATAACAAGTAAGGAGACTGAATTGGTAATCACAGAAATTCCCAAAAAGAAAAGCAGGGCACAGATAACTTCCTTGGTGAGTTCTAAGAATGATTAAAAAAAAAATTTAACACTAATTCTTCATCAACTCTTCTAAACAGAAGATGAGGAAATACTTCCCAACTCATTCAATAAGGCCCAGTATTACACTGGTACCAAAACCAGACATAGACATTGCAAAAAAACACAAAACAAAACAAAACCAAAACAAACAAAAGAAAAACAAAAACACCTACACTAATATTCTTATGAAGACAGATGCAGAAATCCTGAACAAAATATTAGCAGACCAAATCTAGCAACACATAAAAAGGGTTCTACACCATAACCAAATGGGATTTATCCTAGGAATCCAAGGTTGGTCCAACATACAAAAACCAATCAATGTAATAAAGCATATTAACAGGAAAAGGAACAAAACCACATGATCATCTCAATGACAACAGAAAAAAACATTTGACAAAATATAACAGCATTTGTGATAAAACACTAAACAAACTAGGACTAGAAGGAAACTTCCTCAATCCGATAAAAGGAATCTGATAAAATGCACAGTTAACATCATACTTAATAGTGAAAGACTGAAATGTTTTCCCCTAAGATCTGGAACAAGACAAGTGTGTTGGTTCTTGTCATTTCTATTTAACAATACACAGGAGGCTCTAGATAGAGCAATCAGGCAAACAAACAAATAAGGGCATCTACATTAAGAAAACTGTCTACTTGCAAATGGTATCTTGCATATAGAAAATCCTAAGGAACACACACACACACACACACACACACACACACACACACACACACACACAGAGGATGAGAATTAATACATGAGTTCACAAAGGTTGCAAGATATAAGATCAATACACAAAATTAAGTTGTATTTCTATAAAACTAGCGATGAACAATCCAAAAATGAAATTAAGAAAACAATTTCATTTATAATAGCAGCAACAACAATAAAAATACTCAGGAATAAATTTAACACAAGAAATGCAAGCTGAAGACTATACATCATTTCTGAAAGAAATTATACAAAATCTAATAATAAATGGAAAAACATCCCATGTTCATGGGTTGGTTAAGACTTAATATTGCTAACATGGCAATACTCCCCAAATTAATCTACAGAAAAAACACAACATCTATCTAAATCCAAGCCAGTTTTTTTCTTTTTGCAGAAATCATACAGGCTGATCCTAAAATTGATACGGAATGCAAGAGATCCAGAATAGCCAAGAACAAAACTGGAGTACTCACACGTCCTGATTTCAAAACTTACTACAAAGCCATAGTAATCAAGACACTGACACTGGCATAAAGATAAACATAGGCATGAGGATAAACATATAGACCAATGGCACAGAATCTAGAGCCCATAAATAAACCCTCACATTTGCAGTCAACTGATTTTTAATAAGAATACCAAGACAATTTAGTGGGGTCTATTTTCAATAAATGGTGCTGGGACAACTGGATAAGCAGGTGCAAAATAATACAGCGAGACTCCTACCTCTCACACCATGAATGAAAGTAACTCAATATGGGTCACAAACCCAAATGTAATAAGAACTATAAGCTCTTCAGAGAAAAGAGTAAACCTTTTGACCTTGGATTAGGCAATATTCACTTAGTAAGACACTAGAATAGCACAGCAACAAAAGAAAAAATTTCTCCAACACAGAAATCAAGAACTGATAACCCTAACCTCAAAAAAAAAAGTTACTATGGAACAATTGGGGCGTCATTTACTCACTTCTGTTATTTGAGGGGAAAATACCAGCATCTTTTAAGAAATATATAATTATAAACCTTGTATACAATCATAAACCTTAATATGTTTGTATCATAAACAAGGACAAATTATTGTCCAGATTGTTTTGTAAGTATTAAGTTAAAATGCACTTTATCGAATTTCCATCTCAGAACACCCTGCAAGTACTATGATTCCCTATTTACAACTGTTAGCAATGTGGTCCAAAGAAAGAGTGACCAGTCCCAGTAACATAAAACCTAGTTTACTGCAGTGCCACAGCCTACACTGGTCGACTTGGTAAGGATGGAAGAGAATCCAGATACCAGGTTCTGATGTTTACTGTACATCATTTTTTATATAATTCATAAGTATCTATTTCACATTTTAGTGACAGTAGTAAAGTAAAATTTGAAATATAAATTAAAAAATGGATAATCCTGAATTGGGTATACAATATACCTTAACCCTCCGCTGGGCGCAACTGATCTCCCAGATTCCTTGCACACAAAGATGCCGCTATGAAATATGTCTTTACTGTACTAAGTCACAAACACGACTGGCGATAGGTTACGGTAGAGGGGGAAGATACGGAAGCGGTGAGTCACGATAAGTTAACTGTTAGATACTTGAAAATTTGTGTGCAATGAATCTGTGAGATCAGTTGCGCCCGATGGAGGGTGAAGATCATTTTTTTTCCTCCCTGAATTTGAAAACATCAACAAAAATTTTTTTCTTAATATGTTTATAACTATTTCATGCTAGAATAGTCTTCACTGCTAGTCCTTTGGTTCACAAAGGACAAGACGGAAGAGCGGGGCTGGAGCGACACCGTCTGCATGGCAGTCCCCAGGGCAATGCTCTATTTGGCTCTGTCCAACAGAACTGCCTCCTGTGACAGAAAGACTGTATCAGTGCTATCCAACGCAGGAGACACCAGCCCCACCTGACTACTGAGCATTTCAACTGTGGCTATTGTGACTAAAGAACTAAGTTTTCAGTTTTACTTAAACTCACCCTTTCTATAGCTTCTTTTTCCTGAGGCGTTACTTGAATGTAGTTCATATGACCACTTCCAGCTTCTGCAATTCCTCCACTGCCACCTCCACCCCCTCCTCCTTGACCACCAGCTTCTTGAACTGGTTCATTTAACATCTGAATAAAATGCTCCTGGTGTTGGCTAATTTGCTGTGGTGATTTGAAGGACAGAGAAAAACAACACATTGATATAAAGTATCTTCAGGGAAATAAGAGTTCTAAAATACAAATAATTGGAGAGAAAGCTGTAACTTTGCAAATGCAATATTTTAGAATAATTCTAGATTAGTCTTTGGGAGGATATGATTTCTTGTACATTATTAAAGAAGCTGAGTACTCTTGAGTGAGGTAAAAAGAATTAAGACAATTCAAATTCTGTTTCAGAAATGCACCCTGCTCTCCCCGCCAAATCAATGTTAAAAACGACTTGGGGATTGGAAGGAAAAACAGAACTCATATATCTTCCACACTAGTAAGCAGTACAATGCTGTACAAAACTCAAATACTCTGTGACCTAAGTATTAATTAAGCCCATAAGTATGTTTTCTAAGAGGCAGTGTTCAACGAGTAATAAGCTTGGGAAAAAAGATTTAACAAGTTAAATAGTTTCTTTGCTAAAAAAAAAGTCTTAATCAAGTGTTTCCCAAACTTATTATTTGACCAACTAAAATTAATCCAACCTTCACCCCAGTTCTTTATGTAGTACATCTATATAGCATATTATATTGATTGTAGCTTAGAAGAACCGTTTTTAGAGTTGGTAGAGGGGAAAGCGGTGCTCATGGACTTTTTCAAAATATAATACACTCTAAACCCAATTTTGAAATTAACACCAATTAAACAGTCACCTGCAGTAACTGGGGATTTTCTCGACCTATCTGTTGTAGCAAGGCTGGAAGCAGGGAAGGATTCTGTTGAATAATTTGTCTCATCTGTTGAAATTGAGGCTGATTCCGTAAAAATTCAAGGGGATGTCCTAAAATACACATAAACATTTTTAAACAAAAGTAGCAATTACATATAAAGAGTTGGTTCAATCATAATTTAGACAGCAGACAATGGAAAGTAAAAATTCTAATTTGAGTTCTCAGAAATACATAAAATGAAGTAAATAATGACAAAAATCTCCAAACTGTACCAACTTCCAAGTCTCATACTTCAGAAATTATTCCCCATTAGCAAAGGCAGAAAGCACAGAACACTAAAAGTTTTCCTATAATTGTACTGGGTATTTAATATGATTAAGTAATCCCGAGGACCTGTGCCCTGTATGCACTCTATCGAAATAAAAAGAACTAAAAGTTGTTACTGTTGCTCACAAGTTCCTAACAAAAAAACGAAAACCCCACTTACTTTATAATACAACCAAAACCTTTAAAGAATACAATCTGAGCTTAAATTTCTGGGAAATTCTAAACCAAATAAGTGAAAGATATTTAATACTTAAAAGAGTTCAGGTTTGCAGATCAGAAGGCGTTTTATTAATACAAACCAAATTACAATTAGAAGATGATTTTTGGTTACTATCAAATTTCAAACATTTATAATCTATAAAACTTGAGATAAATAAGCCACAAGACAATCTAGTACTAATATATTTAGAACTCTTTAGCCCAAGATCTCTTTATAATAATAAATATTAATAACACCAAACAAGCTTGTGACTTTTTGGGGGTAGTGGTATTTGTCTGGTTATGCTATAGGAAACCAAAAATTGCAGATAAAAGAATTATGTTTTTGAAGTTACTAATGAGTAACAAGACATTCAAATTAAAATGACCACATAACATGGATATTTATTCTTCTTTGTGTTAACACTAGCTTTACAGATGAAGAAAATAAGACTCAGAAACTGAGTTACCCAGTAAGTGCTGAGCAGGACAGCCCCCCCCCCCGCCCCCCCGCAATCTGCCCAAACTGTGGCCTCCTCTTTCCATTCCCATGCCTAATCTTGTACACAAAGTGCTTGGGGATTCTGTCAACTAGAGCTGATTGTCATAATTGGAGCTATGAAATGTATCAAAGAATGACCTCTTCAAAATGAACAGTTTGACTACTTTATCAATACATAGAGGAAAGATGGCGGGAGAACACTAAGGAATCCCCGGACCTACCCAAGGCCCCGGCCATGTAAGGACAGGTGAGCTCAAGGGTGCTGGCCAGTAAGGACAGGTGAGCTCAAATGTGCTCTCATCTCTAGGCACGAGGTTTTAAATCTCTTGGAGTTTTATTTCCTTGGTTATAATAAACACTAAAATACTACTGGCTTTGAAATCATACATACTTTATGACATTTACAAGGAGAGAGAGAGATGAGTAAACCATTTCAAATGGCTTCAGAATGTAACCTGGGATGCAAAATGGAATAAACTAAACAGAACAAAACTAAGCAGAATATGCCCTTTGCCAAAACTGCAGCAAATGATGTTTAATATAAGCAAGAATATCTTCTATATCCATTTGGTAGGATTTTTGGGAGGCCCTTCTTTAATGACTAGAGAATGTGCTTTAAGAGTTATCCCAAATGCTCTGGGAATGAACCTCACCTCGAAATAGTTCAGACTGAATTATTGTACAGGAAAATGTCAGGGCCATTTCCTCCCCATCCCAAAGATCCCACCTTACCTCCAGAACTTGTAGTTGTAGTTGTTGCTGTTGTGGTTGCTGCAGCTGCAGCCACTGAAGATTGAGGAGGCCCAGTAGTGGCTGCTGGAGGGGGGTCAACCACAGCCTGACTTTCTCTGTCTCCGGGGATTCCCTGTAACACAATTTTTACGCTTTAAAATATCCCATCATTTAAAGTTAGTTAAATGTTACACAGAGTAAAAGATTTATGAATCTATTCAATATCCTTAATCTAATTTCCAAAAGCATCAAACAGATGTCTGCTTCAATTAAAGGATCCAGACTTATCTGAGAGCTGCATATATGTAAACGAGGTTAGAAATGGCTTGAGTGTGTAGAGCTCTTACTGCTGGGCCCACATTGCTGTAAGGCAGCACTGCCCAACAGAGCTTGATGGGAACGTTCTGTATCTGTGCTGTCCAGTACAATACCATTAGTCACATGTAGCTGCCGAGAACCTGAAATGTGGCTAATGTTACTAAGAAACTAAAAATTTCATTTATTTTTAATTTAAATTTAGCTACTTGTACTTAACAGCTACTTTACTAGACAGTACAGATCTAACGTATAAAGGGATTTTGTAATTAAAAAAATAAGTCATGAAATGATGTTTACATAATGACATGTTATATCCAACACCAAAGTATTAGGGGCAGGATCCTAAACTTGCATGTAAGTATAATAATAATGTACATTAACTGATTTAAATTTTATAATATTAATACAAATCTTATTGAAATTGGACAGACATATCTGGTTTTTATACTATACATTGCTCTAGTTGATTTTTGAATTTCACAGAAACTTTGACCAGCTCAGTAATACGAAGGATTGCATTTGTAACCCTACCCTTAAGATCACCGTAACAAACTTTAACTTTTGAAAATTTGTTAAAAAGTTAACCATCACTGTTACAGATCTACCTTGAATTCTCAGGCTGTATTCAGCATTTTATTAGATCATTATTTCTTCTTTCCATCCATTCACCCTCTCTTACACAGAGGTTTCAAAAACTAGTAACAGTTAGAGCTAGCCCCCCGCCTTTCAACCTATGAAACAAACAGTAAATCTATAAAAAACACTTTAAACCGTTTCACAAAATGCTCTCTCATCTATTCATCTGTATTTGATGCTAAATATCAGTAGCAACTTTGAAAACAGTAATTCATTTTTTTATGCCTCAAAATTTCAAATCTATTAGATCAAAATATCTGATATTCTTAAATTGATACAGCATTCCCAATCAGGTATAAATTAAAGGCAAGTAACTGCTGGAGGATGAGCAGTTCTTCATTCATGACTTTGACTGCTGAAACTATCCAAGGAGTTTCTAACAGAAATACAACCTGGACACAAAAAATGGGCTCAACTGTGAACTGTATTTCCCAAAGAGTTAGGATTGTGGATTTCTAAGATGATAATTAGGGAAATTTAGACTTCAAAACACCAGATAATTATAGAATAAAATGTTAAGACTGAAAAAAAAGTTAATCCATTGTTATTCCAAAACTCTATGCTACTGGGTTGTCGAAAAAGTCATGATGTATTTTTCCGTTTTTCGTTGCAAAAATGCGTCATGACTTTTCCAACAATCCAATATTACTTTAGCCAGTAATGCATCTGTAAAACAGACATTCACTGTCATAAAATATCAGGGGTTTCAGTCCATGCCCAAAACCTATTTCTCAAAAACCTTTATGCTAATAAAAAACAGTAACTTATTCAGAATTCCCTCAACTGCTACTAACTATAAACAAGCTAACAAAATTCAAATGCCAATGGAACCAGGCAAGTCGCCACATAATTCTATGTAAGGTAATAGTGAATAAATAGGAAGATAGTGAACTGAAAGAGTCTATAACCTAAAACTTTTCCTAATCCCTTGCAAAAATTTGGGACCCATGTTGTCCAGATAAACCAGATTATCTTAAGTTTTAAGTAAATCTCCTAATTTTTAAAAGTTAAACTAGTTACAAAAATTTAGAGAATAAGTCAAGTAAAATTTGACTTGGGCTTCTAACCTGAAACTTTCGCTCTAAGTAGTATATCTGGGATTATGCTGGCTGTCAAAAAAGCTGCTAAAATGTTGGATTAAGTTAGATGAAAAATCTGCCCCACTCTCCAACATACAGCTGTCATCCTTTGACGATGACATAATTGGGGTAGAAGGTACAAACTGAAATGGATAGAATTTTACAACTCAGTTAAGCCATGTGGTTTTGTAACTAAAAATCACATAAAAAATTTTTAGGTCATTTGATCAATGCAAATGTTAACATAGTAAGAAAAAAATAAAAGTATTATGTAAATTATCTAGCATATATTATTATTCTCCTGTGAATTGTTATTGTTCCTTTAAAATCTTTGTTTCTTTGAGATTTTGGTCTTAAACAACTAGAATGAAGAGAGTAAAATGTTCTCACCATTAAAAGATACTCCACTGCTCTGTCAGGGTTGTTGAAACTGGCTCTCAGGGCTGCAATTACTTGCTCTCGTTCGTAGCCCATTGACATGATCTCAGTTACCATATTCTCATAAGACTGACCTGTCACTACAAAAAGGTGTGTGGGACGGGAGGAGGGGAAAGAAAGGGAACATTTAACAATTAAACATTCTCCACATGTTTCTTGACTACATACATGTATACAATGTTTCAGGCACTACAGTGCTAGGAATATAAAGACGAATCACAGTATACAATACAACATGTATGGAGTAGGTAAAATAACGATCCCCCATCCCTGCCAATCCCTGGAACCTATGTCAGGTTACCTTGCAAAAGGGAATTCAGGTTGCTAATCAGCTAACATGGGAAAATTATCCAAGTCAGCCTACTGTCATCAAAGGGTCCTCAAAAGTAGGAGGGAAACAGGTAAGAGGGTCAGAGAAACAGGTGTAAAGAAGAAAGCCAAAAGCAGGGTCAGAGATGCTATGCTGCTCTGATGATGGAAGAAAGGGTTGTGAGCCAAGGAATGTGGGCAGCCTCTAGGAGCTGGAAAGGACATGAAACAAATCCTCCCCTAGGGTCTCCAGAAAGGAATGCAGCCCTGATTGTAGCCCAGTGATTTAGTCCCTTGATTTTGTTTTGTCCAGTGATTCCCGTGTCAGACTTCTAACGTAAGATAAAATAAATCTGCGTTGTTTTACCACTAAATCTGTGGTGGTGATTATAGTAGCAACAGAAAACTAATATAGCATGTTTAATAAGTGTAATAAAAATATTGGGTACAAACGTAGCACAGATATAGGATAGAATTAGCAGGTCGGGACTGTAACCAGAAAGAAGAGAAAGATGAAATAACTTCTGACAAGTACGAAGAACATTTCAATCAATCATTTCTGCTGTAACAAGTTCTGTTTTCCTTTGACACCCTTTATTATCAAGCAGAGGGGAAAAGGAGGTGAGAAGCCAGAAAGTTAGAAGTTCACAGACCACAAAAAGCTGGAACAATGTCCCAAGCACTATCATTCCAGTCAGTCACTTGCCACAGGCTCTCTCCAGCTCTAACGCACTCTTCATGAAAATGTCGGGCAACAGACAACCCTGAGATTGAAAGCCAACTCTCTCCCACTAAACTTACTCCACTTAAGCCATCTTTTCTTCCACTTGTGTTCTGGGTACCATTCCCTTTTTTGTCTTTTCACAGAACTGGACCTTTTGGTTATTCTTTCTCTTGTCCATTTCCCACCCTTCCCTCTCCACTTAATTATCCAGATCAGCAGATAACTAAGTCTTTGAGTGCCAACCTAAAAACAAAAGCATGCCGCCCTTGACTGCATCCCAATTCCTTTTTCAAGAACTGGTCCATCTGTCTGCTTTCTTCCCTACACAGCCTTAGCCCTCTGCACATGCTGTGTCCAGTTCCTCATATCCCCCTCTCTCCTCAACCAATACCAATATGTGACTTTGGATCTCTAAAGATTTCCCTCTCACATGCATCTCACCATTACCTGCCATCTCCATTTCAATAAATGACACCACTATTCATCCAAGTGCTTGAACCAGAAACCTCAGTGACTTCAATTCCCTCCCCCCACACACATCTAACCTAACATACCTGGTAGGTCCTATCTCTAAGTTACACCCCACACCTATCTAGTTCCCTTTTTCTCCACTACTTTCACTTAAGACCAGTCCAGAACCACCTCTGGTCTGGATTACACCTTGCTTCCTCTCCTGTCCCCAAGCCCAAAATCCATTCTTCAGCCAGTTGCAAATTTTTTTTTTTAAGTCTTATCTCATTTCGGGCCCCCAACCCTCAACAATCCTCCACACATCACACTCCAGCCACACTGACCTTCTCCAGTTCACTTCAGAAGTCATACCTTCTGCCCCAGGACCTTTACACACATCAGGAGCCTTTGCTGGCCAGTTCCTGTACATGCTCCAGTTCTCAAACTTTACAGTCTCGATGAGGTCCTGCCTACAATTCTAGGTGTAAGTGCCCTCTGTTTTTCTTTATGAAAGCCATTAAGTTTTTTAAACATCATTTATCATGATTTGCAATATTATTTTATGTTTCCCTTTTTTCTTTCCCCCATCTGAATGCAGGTTCAATTGGGCAAGGGACCGTGTTCTTTTGCATCATTGTTTCCCTAACACATAGGAGACACTCATTAGCAGCTGAATGATTTTTTTCCTGCAGAATTTTAAATAAAGGTATTTAATAACTATGAAAGTCCAGTTTAAGAAACTAAATATCACTGAGCAGATCTGGCATTTGATATCTTGTTTATAGTAGTAACTTTTCCTTTTTCATTCCAGAAAGGATTTGTTAATGTCTTTATTTTCTTAATCACCCATTGATATAATGCTAGCACAAAGCCACTCAAGTGTCAATACATGTTCAGTAATCTAGTTTCCAAATACAGAAATTAGTATCAATATAAACAAAATTAAGCGCCGTGAAGCATCAGAACTATACTATGTTAACATGGTGTTTCTTATTTAATTCTTTTTTTTTTTTTTTTTTTTAAGCTGAGCCATCCTGCCACCTGTTGGCAGCTCATGGCTGCTCAGCTCGGGCTGACTCGAACCGCTGTTGCTCAGAGCTCAAACTCTTGAGCGAGCTCTTAACCAACTGAGCCATTCAGCCGGCCCTCTTATTTAATTCTTATAGTAACTCTATGAGAGAGGTTTATCTACCTCTCCTTTTTTTTTTTTTAAAGATTTTTATTGGGGAATTGGGGGATGGGAACAGTGCTGGGGAATCAGGGAAGAGGAACAGACAAGTTGCTGTCCTTTTGTTCTTCAGTCTAGTTGTAGAGGACGTTGCTTCACTGGCCCAAGTTGGCACCATCATTGCGCTCTTCCTGGGCGAGGCAGATCAGTCGCCGGCTTCTGGACGGCCGCTCACTGCGGCTGCTGGCCGCTCACGCTGGCTGCTGGCTACATACGGTAGCCCATGGCAACCCACTGCAGCAGGGGCTGCAGCCTACGCTGTCGCTGGCGACTCACGGCAGCCCAGCTCCAGGTCGAGCTGTTGTTCAGCATCTTAGCTGTAGAGGGCAGTGTCACTGACCCTTCTATGTGGGATTCAAACCGGGGCCCTCTGGCGTCCCAAGCCAGCTCTTAACCAATGCGCCACTCGGCCGGCCCTATCTACCTCTTCTTTTAAAGGTGATGAGGCTGTGGCTTAGAGAGATCAATAATTTAATCATGGTATCAGTGGCTGGTAAGTCATGCTGCAGAGGCACAACCACAGGCTGTCAGGCTCCAGAGCCCTCACACCTAATCATTACGCGATGTCTCCTAAAATTATGCTTTCTAATTAATCAAGTTATAAAAAATAAAAAAGGAATGCCCATAAGCAGCTTTTTAGATGTTAAAAGTACAAGGGCAAATGGCTTGCAGAAAAATTAGGGACAATGGACAACACGAGACAGAGCTAAAGAGTAGAGAGGCTAAAGAAGTAATGATGAAGTACCTTATATATGTCCTAAGAGTGGGTTTTGTTCTTATTTTCTGGGTCACCAAGGAGCTTTGAAATGAAGTAACAACGATCTCATTAGATTTACCTTTTAGAAAGTCCACTAGAGCAGGGAATAGACCGATGAGGTAAGGTCATGAACTAAGGCAATTAAATGGCAGTGGAAACAAGTACTCCAGAGGCTTCAAGGAAGGGGAGCAACAGGACGCCTGGGCTCACTGGGCCAAGAAAGGCAGAGGGTCAGGGTGATGCCTGTGTTTTGATAGATGGTAATGATGCAAGCAAGGAAAGGAATAAAAGAGAAGAATCAGATGCGGGAATAAATGATGAGTCAATTTGGAACCTAAGGAGTTCATGGAGGTTATAGGTTTTCCAGTTGGCTGTTTAAAGAATGAGTCTAGGAGCTCAAATAAAGAAAGATGTGTACTGTAGGTATAATTCTGGGAATCCTTATAGTATACGGATGGTATTTACCGTTCCCATAGTTTGAACTCTGGACTATGGCCTAGATCAGAACCATAGAAAACGTATATATTTAAGGGCCAGGTAAAAAAAAGAGTAAAGAGCTCCGAGACCATAAAGCTGAGAATGGATGTTCTAGGAGATGTGAGATGTGCAGGTAAGACAGCACCATCAGCAGCCAGAGCAGTGGAATCCTGGGCTCCTGCATCAGGCACAAGTGCTAGCTGGTCCAGCTCTGAGGCTGAGTGCACTCTGCTGACATCTGGGTCATCTCCCCGAGCCCTTCCAGTATCTCTGCAACAACTTCCTAAGATTAAGCCTTTCCCTGTTTGAAATAGAATGATTCTGTTTTCCTGATTGGACACTAACTCATACTCACTTGGCAGCAGGGTAAACCCAGAAAACAGTCCCTCAAAGATGTGGATTTGGTACATCCAGGCGATTTTAGGTTATTATTTAAACAGCCATTTTCCTCCTATATGCTATGATAATCAGTCTGCCATTTTCGAGGGCAATAATGGCATCACGGAGTTCAAGTCCAATTAGATCAGAGGACAACCCTGATCTTAGGAGGCGCTACTGCTGTTGAAACCCCGCTGCTACAGCAGCAAAGCCAGAAATCCAGAAGTTCACAGTTCACTGAAGTTGTTGCTCCCACCTGTTCCCAGTCTTAACAGACCAATAATTAGCAGGCACTACAGAAAACTGTACCAAAAATGTTAGAATGGAAAATGGAGGAAAAACCCAAAACTGATTTTGACAGATTAGGTGTGTGAAGGAAAGATGGAAAGACATTATTCAATAGGTATAACTGAAAGTTGGAATAAAAAGGCATTTTCAGTATAAGTACAATATAAGCAAACAAGATGTAGATAGGAACCCTTAGGGCTGTAATGCTGAAATAAAGGCTGGAGGTGAATAAAGATGAAGTGTGAGACAGATTTATATCCATTTCAAAGACATTTTGTAATAAACCTGTACACATATCTCATTTAAAAATCCACATTTGGAAAAACTATTTGCCCTATGGAAAAGAGTATGCTTAACTCTAATAGTACAATTTAAAGGATTCAATGCATAAAACATTAATTTACAAGGTTTTTAGTAACATTATTTATCTGAATCAATCATTTAGCAGCTTGATTATAAGCAACCATGAAAACGAACACATTATCATGATCTAGAAAAATGAAACTTAAACCTCTCCCCTATCTCTTACAAGGTCATTTATAATGTAGATACCTACCAAGTGCACTTGTTGCATCTTCAAAAAGATTCGACCGAGAAGAATCTCCCGATGTGCTATAAAAGATTTTTTGAAAACCATGTATCAGAAAGTGTATGTAAAATTTACATTAGAGTTTAGTAACGATCTCATTTTTAAAGAGTCTTTGATTTTAATTAAATGTAAAAGTCTAGCTACAATATTAAAACAGTCTTCTAGATTAAACCCCAAAGCTTTATCCATCCCATTTATGGCTTGGGAAGAACTTTCAATTTTAATATTCTATTCTGCAAGTCCATTATTTTAAATGTCCTACAGGTATACAATAACATCCTTCCAGATAGCTTACTATTTAAGGAATACACAACAGATAATGCACAACAATTTCCCTGAAAGAATTTACATGAGAAGTTAAACAACCTGTAAGTCAAGTCACAGTAGAACAAAGTCGCAAAAGCAGCACATGTAGAAACTGTATTAGGCTAGAAAGGCCTGGGAATCTTTACATAGTGGAATTTCAGTTAGGTCTTAGGAGTAAGTTTGGAACACAAAAACTGAAGAAGGCATTCAAGTCAAGGAACATATAGCATAAGCAAAAATGCAGAGGTGGGATAAATCCAAGTAGTAACCCAAAGTAAACCACTTTAAAAAGGGCAATTTCAGAAGATGAGTCTGGAAAAAAGATTATGAAAGACCATGAAGAGTAGGCCAAAGAAAAAATAAATCGAAGTTCACAAAAGTGGAAAAGATAGCAGTTAGCAGTTCAGATTAGAACACACAACATGACACACACTTATACGTCTGCCCCAATTTTAAAAACAAATCTCAGTACAGCAGTTCTGAGAAAACCCTGAAGCATAGCAAAAGCAAGGGAAATACCTAATTTGAATTCATAAATTATTTTCTAAGCCTCAGTTTCTTCATCAATACACATTTTGTGCAGGGTTACTGCTGGTAAAGTGCTTAGCAAAATGCCTGGCATCATTAATACCCAATATGATTATTATAATCCTTTGCTATAATTTTTAAAGTATCATCATTAACTGGACAGCAAAACTAACATGTATAGAAGGCAAAGCTTCAAAAAGAACTATATATAAAAAAACTAATACTCCTGCCCAAGACCCCTGCCCAGAGACAAATACCAATACCAGTTTTTACATAACCACCACTTGAGTCTTGCTTTTGTGCATGTTTTATTTAACTTAACCATTATCCTATGTCAGCACAACCACAACTACCTCAAGTTTTTCCAACAGATGCACAGTATCCCATTTATTGATCAAACTGAGCTCTTATTAAGGATTTTTTTTTACTTTGGTTGCCAACTTTTAAATTCTTTCCGTAGTCTAATTTATCTATTGATCCCTTTTTATGACTTTAAGATTATTTTTATTTTCCCTATGTTGTCCTCTAGTTTATGGTTTCACTCTTACATTAAATCTTTATCGATCTAGAATTTTTTATTAGTGTAAGATATGTGATCCATCTTTTTTCCCTCCAGATGGCTAGACATTTATCCCAACAGCATTTTTTCCTCAGTGGTCTGAAATTACATCTTTCTCTTATATTAAGTCCCTATATGTATTTTGGTCTGTTTCTAGACTACTGTCTACTTCACTGAGCAGTCTAATAAGAGCCATTCTAAACTGTTGTAATTATTACCACATATAATACATTTTAATATCTGATAGGATTAGTCTCCTTCATACTGTTCTTTTACAGAACTGGTACTATTTTTGCACATTGCTTTAAAATTTATTTTTAAACATTACAGGTAAGACTGAGGTATCCTTTAACCACCATTCTTCATTCCTGATTTTGCTTTACCACTTTCCCCATCCCCATCCACACAGGAAATTACTTATCAGTTTTGTGGTCTCCCTTTGCTGCTGTTTTTCTACATATTAATACGCACACCCACAGAAAACATGCAATGTTGGTGGCTTTTGTTTGGCGTACGGTTATTACCTATAATATCTGCAATGTGCTTTTTCACTTGATAACAAAGCCCTTAAACCGTTCATTTAATATGCACATATACTGCATACTTTTGCTGGCCTGTGGCGATTGGGTACAGGGCTTCCCAAACTTAAGGAAGCCTAAGAATAATCCACCAGGAGCTTGTTAAAATACAGATTTCTGGAACACATCTCCAGATAAGTCTGAGTTAGAGATCAAAAGTAGAGTCTAAGAATTAATTTCAAATAGACTCCCAGTGATGTGAGCTGCCTACTGGCTACTGCACTTTGAGTAGCACTGTTCTGAGAACAGGTGAAGTCATTCTCTTACTAATGAATATTTAGGTTGGTTCCAACTTGTCCTCAATTGCAAACAATAGTCCTTGTGCACAAGTGCAGTTTCTCTAAGTCAGATATCAACCTTAGGGAATCAATTAAGAGTGGAATTTGCAATATGATAGGTGGTTTTTTTAAAGAACAAAACTGACTTAAAGAAACAAATCCCTAATAATAAAATGTCAGGCCAGTGGTGGTGGACAAACTTTGACACCCCTCTAATTCATATCAAAATATCTTTTGATTATTATCTCACTAAGTTTTGTGCTTTACAGGACACATGAATGTTTTACAGCACAGATGAAGGGACTAAAGCAGTTAGGGAGCTCTTTTTCTGAGCTTCTCTCATCTTTCCCTTCCTGTGTTATCCTTCTCTTAGGTGAATAATCCTGGGAAATAAGAGTAAAGAGTTGGTGTACAAAGCCCAACTAAGTAAGCGACTCTAGCTTTTGCTCTCCTGGACCACTGACCATCAACTCATTCATGCATTCTCTGGGAAGGTAATCCTGACTCTTGAGAATCAGTAGATAAAACTGTACCCCCAGGAAAAAATGGAGTAGCAAACAATAAAGAAAGCTGAATTGATGGTATTAGTATTAGCACATGAAAATGTATTGATCAGTTCTGAAATAACACTATAAGCTTTTTAAGGAGCTTAAAGCATTTAAGAAAACAAGACAGTGTATTGACTCAAGACATATTTAATTAAGTTTGCAATGTTTAAATGGTTTGGGAAACCAATTTGTTAAATTTGTAAGTTCTCTCACATACACAGAATCGACCAACAGCCTTTTTTTTTTTTTAAGATTTTTATTGGGGGAATTGGGGGGATGGCAACAGCACTGGGGAATTGGGGAAAGGGGAAGGGGAACAGACAAGTTGCTAACAGCCTTTTGATGTAATAGCTTAACCTGACCCTGGGTTGTTCTCCCGCCAGGTAAGAGTGTTGAATACATTTCTAGTTGTACCTGGGAGAAGTATCAAGTTAGACAATGGTGTCTCAGAATGCCTAAAGCGAAGTGTAGCACGCAGGCACAGAGAAAATATTTTATTACCTGAGCCTGTGCTTTCCTCTTAGGGAATTAATCCCTTGAAAAGAGGTCCCAAGTGAGCACTGAACCAGGTGACTCAAACCTCTCCAAACATAGTTGACTGGGTCAGACATAGAACTGACTTAAAGGCACAACACTAAAATGAAGACTCATGACTAAATTCCTTCTGTTCATTGTTGTATTTATCAGAAACATCCTCCATGTCAGTAAACATTTCCAACTGCTGCAGTTTCCTATCGTGTCTGGTTCTGATTCCAAGGACTCCAGCTACCACTGCCACTGAAGTCCTGAGCTGCACTAAAGTCACAAAATACAAACAGCTCCAAAGCCAGTGCACCCTGGACAGAATACAACTCATGCTCTCAGATAAAGAAGGGGTTCCCTTGTACAATTTCCGGCCAAGAGAACGGAAGCATTTGCTTTCGTTATCTATCATTGGGAGAAAAAAATAAAATCTGTCATAACTCCTCAATATCCTAACTGCCAACTTCCCACAAGAAATTATTTCTTGCTCCCAAAGTATCCCAGCACTTTCTCTTTTGTTCTAAAGATCTACACAGGCAAAATCTTAATTTCTACACAAGTTCACAAAGATTTGGATAAAACTGAAAAATTGGAACAATCCTTACATTCAACAAAAGGGGATAGGTAAATTGTTCACAGTAGCTGATATTTACTCAGCACTACTGTGGGCCACGTGCTGTTTCACGTCTTTTACTCATTATTTCATTTAGTCCTTATAGCAACGCTAATGAGACAGGTCTTATTGTTATTTACATTTTATAGACGAGGAAAAAACCCAAAGTTGTTAATTACTTTTTTAAGGTTAAGAACAAACGTCAGACCCAAACGCAATGTTATGCATCAACTAGAAATATTTACTGATGTGGAAGGACATTTATGATATATACAACTATCGAAAGAATATTGATCAAATAAATATAAATGACTGAGGAGTAATGTCAAGCTATTTATAATATGTCAAGCTACAATGTAATAGTGTTGTCGTCAAAATCTTATTTTTGGTCATTTGTATTTCCTAAGATTTCTACACAAAATGAATAATGACTTTGATCCCCTTTTCCTTCCCTCTGGAAAAAAACAGAGTATGCAAATATGGATTATGGAAACTTAAAACAGACGTTAAGTATACTGTTTTCATCAGCGTTCAAAGTTTAAAAAAAGTTTAACATAGTAGGTAGTTTGATCAAAATAATAATCAAAGTAAGTACATGCAAGAAGTTCTTGTTATGAACACATTTTCATACAATTTCCTAAAGTCTAGCTCTTACCTGTCAGTTGATGTTGGGCTAGTAGCCACTGGTGCTTCTGCTGGCTTTTCTGCAGGGTTCTCTTGTTTCACTGCACTAGCAGGTGCAGGTTCAGAAGATGCTGTTGTTGATGCTGGAGTGACCGATGCAGGTGTGGGAGTGGGAGCCAAAGCAGGTGTGGGGGTTGGGGCCTGAGCCGCAGCTGGTGCTGTGGAGGAACTAACTGTGGTGGTGGTGGCAGCATTTGATTGCTGAGTTGTTGTTGGTGCTGGTGTTGTCACTGCTTTGGGCTAAACATATTAAAAAGCAAAATAATGAATTATGATAAAATACTACATTATTACCTGATCTTGAATTAGATTGTATTGTTACAGGATGCTACGAACACAATACAAACTTGAAAATAAATTTGTAAAGTGCCATAACAGTCAATATTAGCATTCTGAATCGCTACTTATTTTACTGTTTCAAAGCTTATGAGAGCATATATCTTAACTATCAATTTCAATCAGCTTTAGCCAACAGCTTCCGCTTTCATATCAAGTTAATATGAGAAACAAAAAAAAGTGCCAGCATTTAAACTGATAGGTATAAGTACAAAGAGGTTAACATAACTTTTGAGATGTGTATGTAGTTAAACGGAAAAATAAAGGCCAAATAAAGTTATAGCCACACGCTCGGCTCTTTCGGAACTAGAAGCAGAGACATAAGGGTTCCAATAGAGCAAAAAGCAATTACATATAGGTAAAAATCATACAATGTGAGCTTTATTATTCTCCTAAGGCCCGTCAATGCTCACTACTTGTTTACCTCATGGCTTTCCTAAAGACAAAAGATTTTGATGGAAGATGGGATTGAAATTCAACAAAATTTGCCCTAAGTATAAATCAACAAATTGTAAAAATAATGAGCTGACTTGTCTTGTTCGATTTGAGCTCGTACAGAGTACACTGAGAAAAAGGTGGCTAGTGCAAGGTAGGGAACTTTAAAAAATACAGTCGCATTCACCCCTTCCTTTCCCTACTCTAAGATTCTTATATTTAGCTGTATAACCTTTTTAGCTGCTAATTTAATACTCTGCAAATTATTAACATTCTAAAACTCCCATCTAGATAAAAATGTAATTTAAATGCATTACGCCCATTTAATATTTCCCTTAACGTTATTTGTAATCAATATAATACTGTAATGTACCATGCCCTCAAGGTCTCTATTGCAACAAAGAGCTATTAGCCTCATTCTAAACTGTACCAAACCCATCTGCTTTTTGAAGTTTTTCTACTTACTTTTGATCTTAATAGCTTTTCCCTGTCTCTCCTTTATAATAAGGTCATTTCTCATTGCTTCCATAATGCCTAATTATAGCAGTTATCTTCCCATTCTAACAGCTGGCCTCTACTAGTAACTTGAAAATAAAACAACCACTAACATCACTAGAATCCTATATAAAATAGAACAGGCTTGGCTCCAAGCAGCTATTCCTCAAGTGCATGCACCTACTCTGCTTTAATTCTTAGCTATGTTCTAATAGTCAAGGTTACTATTAATATAATACTAAAGGAAACAAGACCAATAACAAATACATGTCCAAATGTGTGGCTACCACATTTTCCATTATGTCCTATGTGTGATAAAACTAGATGAGACAATGGAATATTACTCAGCCCTAAAAAGGAAATTCTGACACATGCTACAACATGGATGAGCATTGAAGACATTATGCTAAGAGAAATGAGTCAGTCACAAAAAGACAAATACTGTATGATTTCATTTATATGAAGTATGTAAAGCCTGGGAGAGGCCAGATGGAAAGTTATTATTTAATGAATACAGAGTTTCAGTTTGGGAAGATGAAGAAAATTCTGGACACTAAAGGTGGTGATGGTTGAACAATATGAATATACTTAATGCCACAGGACTGTACTTAAAAATGATAGATTTCCTTATAATTTTTAAAAAACACTTGGTGAGACAAAATTTCAGTGTATGATTCTGTTCTTCTGTATTTAAAATAAATGCTTGAATAATACAAAATCAATATGGTTCTTAGTGGATTAAAAATTTTCAAGCCCAATCCAGGTATACTGTTGAGTTGCTTTTGTTCTTCTGTACAAAACTATGCATTAGTTAAAATTTATTTGTTCAACTTTATTTTCTACTGCATATATCAATTATTTTGTGACTTAAAAATTTATTCTATTTTTGGTCTTTGATAAACTGGTTTCTAATTACCTATTTAAACTTATTTTCAGTGCTACAAGTAACATTCTCAGATTATGACTATTCAATCCTAAAAATTAATGTCATGAGTACTACCACTTCTCTTATTTCTCTTAACTCTGCACTGCATGCTTATGTATCTTTAATGAAGCATATAAATAAAACAAGATCTGGGATAGCTGGTTAACTCAGGTGGTTAGAGCGCAGGATCATAATACCAAGGTTGCAGGTTCGATTCCCACATGGGCCAAGGAGCTGCACCCTCCACAACTGGATTGAAATGACTACTTGACTTGGAGCTGATGGGTCCTGGAAATACACACTATTCCCCAATAAAAATTTCTTTAAAATAAATAAATAAAACAAGATCTCTGAAAGGACCCATATTTGTTCTCCACTTTAGAGAAAAACTTTGGCTTTTATAAATGGTTCCAAATATATTTCAGTCCAATAAACCACAAAAAGTTCCTGTTAAAAACTTCCTCACAATAATTATTCCATCATTTTTTTAGCTGCCTTTTTCCTTTTTAGTTTCCAAAAACCTATCCCATTAACTAAGTAACGTCGCTGAAATAATAAGTCTACACGCCATTGCTACAAAATCTTGAGCAGCGTGCAAGGTCTAGCACATAATTTAGCCAGTCTATTTAAGACACCCTTATTTCTAAGATTCACATTTTCTAATAATTATATAATTAGTGATTTTACTATCCAGCAAAACCTAACAATTTGTAACATGACATTTTTGTATAAATTAACTTATGGTTAACCAAAAGTAAACTGTTAAAACCTTTAAAAACAGTAAAGTGCATCCCACTATGGATGTGCATAAACTATACTCATTAAAAGTATAAAGACTGGACTTGGGATCATTATTATTTAAGAAACTCACATGCATAAAGATATACAGAAAATAAAGCTGAAACTTACTTTTGTCACCATAACCACCACAAAGTTTTTCTCATCAATTTTATATTCTTTTAGAGCAGTATCATCATTGAGGATCTTGCCTAGTACATTAAGAAAAAAACAAAACATGTTCTTTAAGGCACAGTAACCTATCTTACATAACCGAGATTAAAACAATCACCAACATCAATTCTATCAACTAATATTTTCCCAAAAGAAAAACATTAACCGATCAGCCAAGATAAAGATAAATATAAATGGAAACAATTAAAAAGGCATAAACATTTGACTGAAAGGTATCAAACACATATACAGTATATAGATATCCCAAGCAATTCTTAAAAATTATTACTATAATAGAAGACTTGCTGGGTAAGGAAATATTAATGAGATCCTGAGAAAGGAGATCATGAAGACAAAAATTCAATACTGAGATTGCCCAAGGATTTCCCTTGGGGAATATCCTATGGAGGAAGGAGAAAAGAACGAACTTCCTGCTCCCACAAATATTGGAAACATGGCAAAACAGAAATGTTCCAATGCTATAAAAGTGAGATACACATAATACAAAGTACTTCAGAAAATGATCTGATATACAGAAATGACAAGAAGGTATAGAACTGGGCAAGGTACAAAAAGGCACACAGGACTTTGGGCATGCTGAAAGTCAAACGTTAGGTTGGGGACTCCTTCAGGTTTCCTTTTCCTTGAATTTTGTTATCCATTTCTAAAAAGTTATTGAATCAAAAACTGTAGGCATTAAGACAGAAAAAGATAGTGTCTTTCTTCACTCTATATAGGAATGAGAAAACAGATCAAGACTAGGAACCAGAAATTCTAGTTTTATATCTGCCACCAACTACCTACTTTTTTTGGCTTCCAATTCCTGATTTTGAAGTGTTTCCTTTAAACCATTTCAATTAAGAAAAGACTACAAAAATCTTTACCTTAGAAGAGACAAGAGTCAATGGGCAACCCAGGACCTACTGACATCTACAATGATAATGTTTATTTTGAAGAACAAAGAAAAGCATTTTCTCCATAAAAGTCACATATCAAGAATATTTTTGTTTTGTTTGTTTTTGTTTTTTCAGCTGAGGCATCCTGCTACCTGTTGGCAGCTCAGCTTGGGCCGGGCATTGAACCACTGTTGCTCAGAGCTCAAACTCTTGAGCGAGCTCTTAACCAACTGAGCCACTCGGCCGGCCCAAGAATATTTTTAAAATACATTTTCCTGGTTACTAGGGAGGCTAGTAATGCAATTTCATATTCTTCGTTGCTTTTTATTGGGACATCCTTTCATTATTGATTTCTAAGAGCTCTTTATATAATCTGAATATTAATCTTTTCTTTTCCTGTCATTTATAGTGCCTTTTGACATATAAGGTTTTCTATATTCAATCAATTTTGGTATTTTATTAAAAACAAAAACAAAACAACCCCAGCTAAATTAAGATTTAATTTCACAGGAATGATTCTAAGTACATCAAAAAACATAATCAGTATAAATGCTTTCATTTCAATAGGAACAAAAAGGCTCAGATTGATTAAAAATACAAAGCCAGGGAAAAGACAGTCTCAACAAATGATGCTGGAATAACTAGACAACAAGGAAATTGGACCTCTATCTCACATCACTTGCAAAAAATCAACTAAAAAATGCCCACCAAAGCTGAATGGATTTGGGCCAGCCGAATGGCTGAGTGGATTAAGAGCTCGCTCAAGAGTGCGAGCTCTGAGCAACAGCGGTTTGAGTCCCAGCCTGAGCTGAGCTGCCACTAAGCTGCCAACAGGTGGCAGGATGGCTCAGCTATAAAAAAAAAAAAAATGAATGGATTTAAAAAGATGTACATATACACAATTAATATTATTTGGCCACGAGAAAGGAAGGTATCCTTCCATTTCTAACAGCATGGATGGACCTTGAGAACATTAAGCTAAGGGAGGTAAGTCAGAAAGACAAATACTGTATGGTATCACTTATATGAGGTGTGATAAAAAATATGGTGAGTTAAATTAAAAAAATATATATTACAGTAAAAGACACACTGCCATTAATCACCCTCAAAATACCCTCCCTCGCTTTGAACACACTTATCCCATCGTTCTTGCCACTTTCTGAAGCAGTTCTGGAAGTACTCTTTTGTGAGTGTCTTTAGCTGCGCTGTCATGGCTTGCCTCCATGTCCTGAATTGATTCAAAACGTTTTACCTTTCATGGTCATTTTGACATTGAGGAAGATCCAGAAGTTGCATGGTGCCAGATCCGGTAAATAAGGTGGAGGGGACACACCGTCATGTTTTTGACAGAAATTGCTGTACCAGAATCAATGTGTGACACGGAATGTTGTCATGATGGAAGATGAAGTAGACACTCACGGAAGAGGACTTCCAGAACTGCTTCAGAAAGTGGCAAGAACGATGGGATAAATGTGTTTGAAGCAAGGGGGAGTATTTTGAGGAGGATTAATGGCAAGTGTCTTTTACTGTTAATAAAGTTTTTAAAATTTAAACATTTACCGTATCTTTTTATCACACCTCATATGTGAAATTCAAAGTTAAACTAGTAAAAAAAAAACCAGAGTAAAATGGTGGTTTCTAGGGGATTGGTGGGGTGAGGAGCAAAGAGTGATGGTGTTTAAGAGTACAAACTTTAGTATTAAATAAGCCATAGAGATCTAATGCAATGAATACAGTATAATGAATATAGATAATATTGTACTATAATTATGTCATGAAATAAATGTGGCTGCATCAACAATCATATCACAATATATAAATGTATCAAAGAACATGCTGTATACTTTAAACTTACATCACACATCCAATTTGTTCAATAAAAATTTAAAATCACAAAAACTTACAAAAGGTAAAACTAAACAAAAAAAAATCATTAGACAGAGAAATATATAAAGCAAATGTGATTAAAAAGAGAGGACTGAATATTAATCATATTCAAATGACTTCACTGTACAATTGATAAAATCAATTTGTGATTTCTAAAACTAAACCAACGTCACTGTAAGGAAGAAAATGGCGTATTAATTTCAATATTTAATCCATACCTGCATAAATTAATTTTTGACCTGCTACGGGAAAGGCATCTTTCCCCTTTTCAGATTCAATCTTCTCTTTCAGTGCTTTCACCTAGAGGAAAAACAAAGGTTTTTTGTTTTCTTTTTGTTTTTTAGAAGAAGTCTAAACAACATATGACAATCCAGAATCTGAATAAATTATGTAAGAAAAGATTTTATACACATTAATACTTCCAGAAACTTAAAGATCATGTCTTTACAATTTCATATCAAAAAGACTCATTAACTCATATTAGGTACAAGAGGTATAAACTTTGTTTTACCACCATCTGTCATACATACACAGATTTAAAAAAAGCTTTAGCAGTTGACTCGATAAATCTATTTAAAATAAAGCTTCCAACATCAAAGAGTTTTGATTCTCATCAAGTATTTATGGGCTTATTTCCCACAGAGTAAGAAAATAAAGCTCTCTAACCTAAAAGGTCTAAGAATGATTCACTTTACGAGTGGGTAATGTTTCACTATAATCACCTAAGGAGGCTTGATAAAGACCAATCATAACGTAACTTCTCCCTTTCTTCCTCTTAGTACTTGGCGCCAGCTGCCTGTGCTCCTCTTTCCTCTGCTGCCACCCAGCTCCCGGGTCAGCGGGCTATTTTGGAGACCTGAAGAGTCCTGCCAGCTTCCAAGCGCTTAACAACTAACTACCTGGCTACCTGGCGGACAAGAGCTACATGGAGGGGTTATGTGCCATCACAAGAAGACGTGGCAGTATTTGAAGCAGTCTCCGGCCCACCACCTGCCGGCTTGTCCATGCCCTACATTGGTATAATCACATCAAGTCTTACGAAAAGGAAAAGGCAGGCCCGCCAGGAGTGAAGAAAGCTTTGGGCAAGTATGGCCCTGCTCATGTGGAAGACACCACAGGAAGTGGAGCTACAGACAGTAAAGACGACGCAGACATTGATCTCTTTGGATCTGATGAGGAGGAGGAAAGCAAAGAGGCTAAGAGAAGAATGCTGTGCACAGTATGAGTCAAAGAAAGCCAAAAATCCTGCACCTGTTGCCAACTCTTCCATTTTATTAGATGCGAAACCTTGGCGGACAAGACAGATATAGCAAAATTAGAGGAGTGTGTCAGGAGCATTGAAGCAGACAGCTTGTTTTGGAGCTGTTCTAGACAAGTTCCAGTGGGTAGGGAATTTAAAACCTTCAAATACATTGTGCAGTAGAAGACAATCAAGTTGGAACAGATGCGCTGGAGGAGCGGTTCACTGTTTGTGAGGAACAGGTCCAGTCCATGGACATGGCTGCTTTCCACAAGATCTAAAATCCATAATGGATCACTGCCCTTAAATAAAAGCTTGAAAGACAAACCCAAAACCAAAACACCACCACCCCCTCACACACACAATTTCTGAGGGTGGGGCCTAGATACCTATATTTTTTAAAAGCTTCATAGGTGGTTCCAAAGTGCAGCCAAGGCTGAGAACCACTAAAAATGATCTTAAACAAGTAGCTTGGTTTCTCTCAGCATCAGTCTCATCTATGTACGTATCTTTAAAGCAGGGGTACTGAAATACAGATGATCTTTATGGTCTCTTCAATTCCTAAAATTATGAGACAATGGGCTCGTTATGAAGTATTTAGAAAATGAGCATAATAAATTTCTGAAACTCATCAGAAAGTAGGGTGGCACAGGAGTGAAAAAGACAAGGAGACACGATGGAACTAGTTTCATTACTTTAAAGGAACCAGAAACAAGGGGGGAAATTCCATTTCCTTCAGTTTTTCCAGACTACTTCTGCAAGTTGTCTAAGTTGATAGTTCTGAGATTTAGGTGAAAAACTGTCTGATAGGGATACAAAGAGAGGGTTCCTTTGTACAATTAAAAAGTGATGATGGGGCTGGTCGAGTGGCGCATTGGTTAGGAGTTGGCTTGGGACGCCAGCTCTAAGCAGCAGGGCCCCAGTTCGGATTCCACATGAGGGCAAGTGACGCTGCGCCCTCTACAGCTAAGATGGTGAACAACAGCTCGACCTGGAGCAGGGCTGCTGTGAGTCACCGTGAGCCACTTTCCAATGGCCAGCAAGCAACTGCCTCACCCAGGAAGAGCGCAAAGATAACACCCACATGGGCCAGTGAAGTGACGTCCTCCACAACTAGACTGAAGAACAAAAGGACAGCAACTTGTCTGTTCCCCTTCCCCAATTCCCCAACACTATTCCCCTCCCCCAATTCCCCAATGAAATCTTTATATATAAAAAAATGTGATGTGTTCTTCCAAAAAACAAAAAAAAAAGATAGTAATGTTAGTAATGTTTATATAGCTTCAAGTACACTAACATACACAATTTCACATAATCCTCAAAACTCTAGGATAAATGGGAATATCATCCACTCAATTTTTTATTACAGATAAGGAAAAAAAGAGGTTACATCTCCTCCCCAAATTACATTGCTACTAAGCAGCAGCTGAAACCTAAAACCAGTTCTTTTGACTCTTATAACACTTAGTGGGTTCATCATTTTTTAATGAACATTTAAAATATGTTTTAATTTTGAATACAGTAAACATCAATAAACAAAGCACATAAACAAAGTTACTTTGGATTTCTCAATAAGTTTGTTCAGAGAAGAAGAGATGCAATATTGCAAATGTGATTGCTCGCCTGGTGAAAAATCATAAATTACAGTCCAAACGTGTCACTATGACTGAATCCAGTTTTCAGAACAGCACAAAGTGGCTTAGAACATAGTAGGCACTTAATTATTGCTTGCTGAATGAGTAAATTAATATAGCATAAAATATGTGAAGAAAATGGGAAATAAAAAATACATGAAGCAAAAAGTAAAAGAAAAGAAGCAGGAATCTCATTTCTCAAACAGGTCAGAATGAAAAGGCAATTAAGATAGATTTAATTGAGATATATATATATATATATATATATATATATATATATATATTTTATCCAATAGAAACTGTATTTTTATTTCTAGCGCCCACAGAATATGTATTTTAAAACTTCAGGCCACAAAGAATATTCCACTATTTTCAAAAGCCTAAAAGATAATGGACCCACTCTCTAGCTTTGTATATAAGAAAAAAGGAGGGAACCAAAAAACCAACAAACAACCCCCCCCCAAAAAAAACACCCCACCTTGTAAGTAGGACAAAAAAAACACAACAGGACACCTCCAATCATTTACTAGTAAATAACATGTGCTTCAAAGAAATCAAAACTGTGATTAAAGAATATTAAGATCACAATGAGAACTCTATAAACATCAATAACTGTATGGTTTGGCTAAAAAAGTAGGCTTACACTAAAATGTTCATTATTAAACAAAAAAGGAAAATTAATAAGCTAAGCACACAACTCGAATGGAAATAACCAAAAGGAAAATCACAAATCAAAGAAATTCAGTGAAATGGTAGAAAATGCTTCTTGTGTCGAAAGAAAAATGGACAAATGTCAAGGGCAGCAATTCACAATTACACAGTGAAGTTCAATGTCATTAGTAACCAAAAGAATAGATTTTAATGTCAGGCATCCTTAGTCTAATAGACTGTCCTGCTGGAAAAGACTGTCCTGAACAATTCATATTCTCAGAGAGTATCAAATGTTTTGAGGGTAATATGCCAAAATGCCTCAACTTTTTTTGGGGGGGGGGGCATTCAACCCAGCAATATCACTTAGGGTAATGTATCAAAGAAAATAACTACACTTTGAAACCAGGTTCACCGACCTGTCCATGATTCTGGCATTGTTTCTTAATCTCAACACAATGATCTTTATTTCCAATCCACTTAAGTCATCTAGTACTCACAGGACACAGGCTGAATCTCGTTATCCCCAAGCTGTCCGATCTCTGAAATTGTCCAATTTCCTATGCATACCAGCTCTCCCAATAACTGTTCACTACACCTGGTCTTGCATCTCATTAAGATATTGGTCCCTAGGGCCTCTACTTCAGTTTGATCTTTATTGCCAGCTCTTATCTGCTTAGAAAACAATGCTACTACTTGTACCACTTTCTTTCTAACATCGAGACTTCCTTGTCTTTCTGCTGCTCCTGCCAGACAAAATTTTTATTTGGACCAACACAATAAAATCATCAGTATCCAATATAAAAATTTATTTCAACCAGTCTGTGGTATCCCTCTCTTACCTCACTTAGCTAACAAATCTCACTGTTAACTCACCAACTGCCTATCCATATTTATATCCAGTCTTCTAAATGCTACTGGAGAAAACAAGACACTATCAATCCTTCTGTTCTCCTGGTTAGCCCTTTCCTCCATTTTCCAAGAGGGTATTTCAAACCTGCACTCTCCTCTAAATCTGATTCCCAACAATACCCTTCACCTCCCCCAACACATGACTATTTTTCTACTTCATTCGAAACATAAGAGACATCAGACAACTCTCAACTTTCTGCCACCAAACTAACAGTTTTTGCACCATGTCCACCTAATCTTCCCACCTGCTAAGTCAAAGCGGCATCCCTCTTAATTCTTTCCCAGTTCCCTGGTTCTCCCTTCAGTGTTCTTCTTCAGTACCTTACTAGATTTGTCATGTTTCCTACCCTCTCCCAGCTTTATTTTCAACTTCTCCCTCAAAGCCAGCTCACTCCCAACTCACAAACAGACCTAATTCTCTATCATCTTAAAAACAAAACTCCTTACCTCCTGTTAGCTACTCTCCTTCCCTTAGTTGCAAGCATTTTTCAAAAAATTAACTGCACACATTGTCTTCACTTACTGGTAACCCCAGTTAAGTGTGCAACACAATGCTGGTGAACAGATGCATGGACTTCTCATTTTGATGCTTATTTTCTCCGATAATGCCTGCTCCCACAATTCCATTGATTGTTCTTAACCATATCACTGATTTCAGCAACATCATAATCACAGTCCTTCCCTATCTTACTGGACCTCTGTGTCACATCTGACAGTACTGACCTGTCTTTCCTTTACACTGTCTTTGGTTTCTATAATGCCATACTCTTCTGGTTTTCCTCTCTCTCTGTTCACTCCTTTGTGAAATCCTGTTGGCCACCCCTTTAAATGTTACTCAAGGCTATGCCCAAGGCTGCCTTTTTTCT